GGGAGAGCCGCCGGGGCAAGCAGGGGGCCCGGATGAGCTTGCTGGGGAAGCCGCTGTCCTACACCAGTAGCCAGAGCTGTCGGCGCAACGTGAAGTACCGGCGGGTGCAGAACTATCTCTACAACGTGCTGGAGAGACCCCGCGGCTGGGCGTTCGTCTACCACGCGTTCGTGTGAGTACCCGCCACCCCTCTCCCTCCTCCCCTGCGCGCGCCCGGCCACGCCGGGGACCCCTCCCCACCGGTGCGCTCCGAGCCCGCGACCCCGCCGGACGCGCGCGTGCGCGCGTGCACACACTCCCAACGGAGCGCGCGCGCACGTGGTGGGTTTTATTATTACCATTATCATTATTATCGCTATCATTATTTGCTTGCACGTGTCGGTGCTCTTGCAGCCTTTCGGCTCCCCTGCGCCAGCTCCTCCATCTATGTAGCTTGAACCCCCTCGATTCCCTCGGTCCCCTCGGTCCGGCGCCCCAGGAACTGCTAGGCACCCAGCAAAAGGTGGATTTTAGGTTTCTCAGCTAATTGGGATCGGGGAGATCCTGAGCTAGCATAAACTTCAGCCGAAGCGGGGAGAGGCACAGAGAAGGCACGTTAGCGGGGTTCCGGGGTGATGGCGGAGGGGGAGACAGGTCCTCGGTACCGGGGGAGGAGCAGGGAAGCTGCTAGTTGGTGGAGAAAGCCACTGGGTTCGGAGTGCGCCCGGAAACACGCCTGGCCACCACCACGGTCGCCACCAACGGCAGATCTTGTCAGCGCGTGGAGCAATTCTTGTCACCGAGAAGGTGACTAAGGTCGAGAAGAGTGAGCCAGGCTCGAGCGTGGACCCGGGCGACGTGGGGCGCTGGAGCGCCGCGCCCAGGTGTGATCCAGGAAGCGCGAACCCACCCGCCACATCTGCCCGGAGTCAGCTCCGTGTGTGTGTGTGTGTGTGTGTGTGTGTGTGTGTGTAAGCCCCTCGCCGTCTAGCAGAGAATGCTTAATGAGAAAACGATTGGAAGCAAATGTTTATTTTCCCCACAGGCATTAAAACCTTTCAGTGGCTTTAAAGTTTACTACTGTTTTCCCCACAAGGTCCATTCATTCAGTCTCCTGTTAAGAGTCCAGGTTTTACACCCTGTTTCATTCGTGTTTTTTTTTTTTTTTGTCCCTTCCTCTTTTTCATTTTTTGCCTTTTGGCTTTCCACTCTTCATACTTGTTGCCTATGCTAAGATGAAATATAAACACGATAGAATATCTTTAGAGAAAGTTGCAATTGCCCATGCGTTCCTTCTTTCCTAGGAAAATTCATTTTGAACACATAACCTAGTTTCTTTCTGTATCATCTGTACATATCCTCATCTGAGACAGGCTGGCACCAACATGGAAAAAATAGTTTTTAATAACTTGGGGGAAAGAACTAGGTTTGTAAGTACTGAGCCTGGAATTTGACCACGTAGGACTCAGGAAGCCGTGGAGGCTACAATCCGTGGGGCTCTGGTGTCTGGAAAAGTTTACAATTCCAGGCTGCTTGTGAGCTTGTAGGATTCACTGAAAGCTCCCCTGCAACTTTCATTATTATTATTATTTCTACTAATTTCACATCCTTATTACACCCAAAGGGATTAAGTTCTATCATTTGCTGATGAAGATCATATTAATGTAGGATGTAGATACTGTAATTAATGTTAGTCATAGAGAAACACCACTGATAAGCTTTTCTTCCCTGGGTTGATAGAAAATCACTCTTATTATTTAATGAGTCCAATAAGTTATTTTGACCTGTTTTAGAATAAACTCAAGATTTAGCAATGATGACAGCAAATATATCATGCGTATAATAACTTTTTACAAGATATGCTTAACATATTCATGGCTTGGAACTTTCAATATGATGACTTCGTGGTGAATCATATGTTTTATCCACCTAGCAGTGCTTTTTATGATAGATATGATATAAATGATAGGATATGCTGATATGATATAAAAACATGATACGTTGATATTGAGAACATGAAGTTCTGCTTCATATACTTCCAGCAGTAGGAAACAGTACTGTTTTAGTTGCTACATAGACTTGCTAGGTACACCTTAGCACAAGGACTGCTTGTAATTTTATTTTATTTATTTCATTTTAAAAGTAATTATTAATTGTTTGTAATTATTAATTCTTGTGATGGTCCTGGGGCTTGGACTCAGGGCTTTGGTGCATTCTCTGAGTTTTTTTTCTTAAGCCTACTGCTCTATCACTTGAGCCACAGCACCAATAATGGCTTTTTGGTGGTTAATTGGACATAAGAGTCTCATGGACTTTTCTGTCTTTGAACCACAGTCCTTAGATACCAGCCTCCTGAGTAGCTAGGATTACAGGCACCCAGCTTAAATGGGTTTTGGAATAGCTGGACTTTACACATTAAATTAATAAATCAAACTTGCTTTGAGCTGTACATCTAACAAGACCACTAATAACGCAGGAAATTACAAGAAAATCACTTCTAGAAGAGGTGTAACTAACTAATTCCCTGCCAGCCTGGGAATCCCCAAATCTTACTTTAATAACAGTTTTTGTAGCATATTAAGGTTCCTGCCAAGAAACAAGTGCACTGTGATTAATGAAGCACTTCAGGGATGAATTTACTTGGTAGACCAATGTTTATACTGCCAAGAAACAAGAAAAGTGTACTTAAACTTATGCTTTAGGTAAAGAAAAACCTCTGTTAAATATGTAAAACTCATTATATAATGATACTTTAATGATATAAAATGTGGTTTTAAGAGTACTTATTCCAAGCTGGGTGGTGGTGGCTCATGTCTGGAATCCTAGGTACTCAGAATGCTGAGAGCTGAGGGTGTGGTTTGAAACCAGCCCTGGCAGAAAAGTCCGTGAGACGCTGCAGTTAACCAGCAAAAAGACATAAATGTTGCTGTGGTTCAAGTGGTAAAACACCAGTCTTATGTGAAAGAGCTAAAGGACAGCATCCATGCCTGGAGTTCAAGCTCTAGTATTGGCCTGAGGATGCCGGTGCACACACGAGTACTTAGCCCACCAATAAGAGATATCTGAAATGTCTGAAATACTTGCTTGCAGTTGGTGAATCGGGGGATTAGAAGATCAGTGTCATTGCTGTACTTTTGGTTTTATGGGTAGCATTTCCTGCCTTTAGCTGTTCTTCAGTTTATTAGATGAGCCATTAAAAATATAAGCTGACTAATTTCCTTGAATGTTGTTTGATTTTTCCTAGTTCCCCTTCCTTTCGGGAAAATTTTATGGTCATGGTGGTACTATGTAGAGGAATCATAGTGGGATTCTCTGTATAAATTTGCCTTGCTGTAGGAAATGTGGTTCTGAGACAGTACACAGGAAATAGTAGTGTAGATACATCTTACTTAACACTCCCCCAGTGTATATTTGCCTGGTTTAAGACCATGGAAGAAGATTCATAAGTATTTTTAAACTAGAAGAAATATTCCAGACACCCAAGCTAAAAGCCCTGAAGGCATCCCTTTTTTCATACTTCCTCCTTCTGGCCATCCAAATGGTCATTCTGTCCTGTTTATTTACGCATAAATATTTTGGAAATACATTTCTTTAAGTTCTTTGCTTTTCCCACCTCTGCCTGGTTCTAAGTACCTCTGCATGGGATGATTGTAATACCTGCCTGTTTGATCATCTCCCTTCTATTAAGGACCTTGTAGTAGGAGTCTCTGAAACCATAGCTCTAAATGTAAGTCTTTTCACTTCCTAAAAATGCAGATATTTATTTATTCATTTTTGACAGCACTAGGATTTGAACTCAGCACCTTCCACTTGCTAGCTGGCACCTTTCCACTTCAGCCACACACTTAGTCCTTTAACTTTTAGCTATTTTTGGTAAAAGACCTTGCATTTTTTTGTGTAGGCCAACTGGAACCACATTTCTATTTACTTGTCCTGTGTGTCTGAGTTGACAGGCCCACACTGAGCTACTGATTGAGATGGCATCTCACTGAGTTTTTGCCTGAGGGGCTTGGAATCATAATCCTCCCAGTTACCTGGATTTCAGGCATGAGCTATTGAACGCTGTTAAAATGCAAATCATGTATTATTCCCTTGCCTTAAATCTTTCTGTTATTATGTCTTATTAATTTGTATATGTGTTTATTTTATTTTATTTTTATAAAAGCTGAGTGGCAATGAGCCTGCGAAGTAGCTTATTGGTAGAATGCTTGCCTAACATGCATGAAGCTCTGGGTTCGATTCCAGGACCAGCTCCAGGACCAGCAAAAAAATGCAAAAGAAAACAACAAAAAAGCTGAATGGCAATTATTAATTATAGTATGTGTTGATTCCCAAATTAGTAAGAGAAAGACCTCTACTTTTAAGGATGGAAAAGATTCTAGCATGTGGTGTTTACAACCATATGAAAAAGTGTGACACAATATCCATGATTTTTTTTTTTTTTTTGGTCGGTTGTGGGGCTTGAACTCTGGGCTTGGACGCTGTCCCTGTGCTCTTCAGCTCAAGGCGAGCGCTCTACCACTTGAGCCACAGCGCCACTCCGGGTTTCTAGTGGTTTATTGGAGATAAGAGTCTCACGGACTTTCCTGCCCGAGCTGGCTTTGAACCACGATCCTCAGATCTCAGCCTCTTGAGTAGCTAGGATTACAGGCGAGAGCCATGGCACCCGGCATTCATGCTCTTTAGAGGAGGTAGGTTACCAAGCTCTATGGGAAAGGAGAAGGTAGTGGAGGAGATGAATGCAAAACCATCAGCAGTCTCCTAAGAGAGAAAATGAGACATGAGCTGACTTGAGACAAATGAGTCCTTAATTTGCACTTAGGCAAAAAAGGGAGAATGAGGTCCTGATGGAGAAAGAAGCTTATGTAAAAGTTTGGAATTGTGAATTGGTGCAGTAATTGTATGTGCTCCCAAGAATTTGTAGGACAAGACCATGTAAAAAATCACATGTTGCCAGATGCAGGTGGCTCACATCTGTCACTCTACTACTCAGGGAGCTGAGGTATGATGATCATCAATCAATGCCAGTCCAGGCAGAAAATTCTATGAGATGCTTATCTTTATCTAGTGAACTAGCAAATGAAGCTGGAAGCGAAGGTGGGCTCAAGTGGCAGAGTGAAGAAGTTAAGGGAGAGCTCCAAGTCCTGGGTTCAAGCCCTAGTACTGACAGCAAAAAGAAGACAAGTCATATAG